TGGTTTTTTGTTGTTGTTTTTTTTTTTTCTGGGGGGGGGTGAGGTTTGTGTGATGGTGATGCTGCCCACCACGTGGACTTTGGCTGGGGAGGAGAGGGTGGACTGTGCGGGAAGATTAAATCGTGGCTATTCACCATTTAATTTGGATAATTCCTGCTGGTGTGTCCTGCAAATAACTGTCAGTATGGCAGAGACTGTAGAAATCATTGCTTTTTTAGTCCTAAATATGTTGTGGGGTTTTTTTTTTAGCATATTTCTCTTTGCAGTGCATTGGCAAGGCTCGCTTAGAGATTATATCCAGCTGTGGAAGCGGTCGCGATAGCATCGTCCGTGCCCACCTATATATTTATGGGGGGTATTTGGGTGTGCTTGACCCCCGTAGCCTTTCCTGGGTGATACATTTGTGGTCGCGGATCTCTTTTGGGCTTGGATTTCCTACCCGTTAAACGGAAGGAGCGCATTCCCCTTGCACGGGAAAGAAAATAATAAATAACAACTGAAAGCGGGGAGAGAAGTTGTTTCTTCGTTTGAACCCGGCGATAAATCTCTCCGGCAGTTCGTCGCCGTGTCGTCGGACCCGGAGTTTTCCATCTGTGTTTTGCCTGACATTTCTGAGCGCGAGGGAGTTTGCTCCGTAACTGCAAATGCCATCCGTTAGCGGCTGTGGGCTGTGCTGCTGCTCTTTTCCCTCCCCAAAAGCCGCCCTTTGCTGCGTGCGCTTATTTTTATTTTCTTCTTCCCAAATGCCGAACCCGCCAGGAGGATGTTAGCGTTTATTGCAGCGAGTTTTCATCTAGAAACTGTTTGCCGTTCCACGGCTTTTGCTGGCGGTTGGAGGACCCAACGTGTGGCTTCTAACTAGGGATGTTCCCTGCATCAGTGATGGGGCAAGAGCAGGAATCTCGCTTGGTTTTTTAGGATTGCCTTCAGCCAACTGCTCCGGTGATAAAAGAATATGAAGTCGTTTTTCTGTACTCATGAAGTTAATAAGTATATGATTAGTGAGCGTGGAAGAGAACAGGAATGGTATTTAACCAACAAAGCCAGGAAATTCCAGATTAAAGCGTGGATGCTTAACTTGCTGCTCTAGGGGTTTGGGAGTTGAGTGCCGTTAGGGAGTTTTGCCCATCTTTAGGAATAATCCGAAAAAAGAGACATTTTTTTTGTCAAGGCACAAGGAAAACAAACAGGTTTGTTCCTTTTCTGTGTAATACTGAAATCTCCTGTCAACAGGGCAACACCTCCCTCAACCAGCCTCACAAAATTTTTTTCCCCCCTTTTTCACATGCTAAACTTTCAGCCCAGGATAATTTTATTTATTTATTTATTTATTTTCCCCCAGCGGTTTCTATCTCTTGACAGTAGAATTTTTATCGTGACTCTTGAACTGAAAAAAAAATAAAATTAATAATAATAATAATAATAATAATAATAATAATAATAATATCCAACGGAGCTTTTTGCTGGGTCCGGACTCCTGCGGATGTGCGCTGCTCTCCCTTTCTGCCTCGAGGAATGCAGAAAATCAGGATTTTAACGCACGGCGGGAGCACACACCTTTTCTGAAGCTTTGGACCTACTAAAACTTTTTAAGATTTACGTAATTACACCCTTGGCCAGGCTGGTTTTGCTCCCTTCTGGGAAGGAGATCCGGACTGGGGCAGTTATTTTCTTCTGCAAGAAGAGGAATTGTTTGGGTTGTTGGTTGAGTTTTGTTGGTGTGGGGTTTTTTATGTTGGTTTTTTTTGTGTGTTTTTTTTTTTTTCCCCCTGAAAGGGGCTTTTTGTTTTGTTTTTGTATAAGCAATGTCTACTAATTACAGCGTTTTGCTCTTGCTTTTATTCCCTTTGCACACAAGCAGGCTGCTTGGAGGAGGGCTGCCTGCCCCGGGGAGGGCAGGGATGCTGAGCTCTCCGCAAATATATGAGAGAGACTTTCTGCTAGTGAATAAACTCATTTATTCTCCTAGCTACTTGACCGTGATTTTTTGGAAAGAAAAGCTCCACCACCTTTGAAATGAAAATTGAGGGTTTTTTCCTGAATTTGCTGAGCCCTTGGTACGCCCGTCGTTAGCAGAGTTGTTACAGCTGGTTGGGGTGCGGGGAGAAAGCAGCAAAATTTGTATTTTTTTAATGTGTTTTTTGTTTTTTTTTTTTTTAATCCCAATTGTCAATTAGTTAAACAGCAGTCCCAAAGCACAACGGACATCAGGGAGGAGGTTTATTTTCCCCACTCGGCACCTGCCATCGGATAGTTCCCGGCCAGCTCGGAGGCCGCCTGGCCAGGTTAATTATTTTATACTTTGTAATGCGAGCCGGGCGCCTTGTTGGTCTCGTTCCTAGATTGATGCCGAGGTGCTGAGCCGGGCGCCGCCGACCCCAGCTGCCGGGAGGAATCCATGAGCTCACGGCCTCGGCTATGGACATCGTCCTGTCGGATTTTGTGCGCTCAACGGGGGCAGAGCCGGGACTGGCCAGAGACCTCCTCGAAGGTAAATCAAATTGGGAATAAAAGAAGGGAAGAGCCAAGGGGTGGTCGGGGTGGGGGGGGAATAAAGGGGGTTGTGAGAGGGCTTGGCCAGACCCTGGGGCTGGCGGTTGGTGAATGTTGATGCTGGAGATAATAAAACGTGCCCTCGGCGGCGCGGCTGGTGAAACTGTGCCTTGGTTTCTTGTTACGCGTCCGTCAGGTGATGAATTTCAAATGTTGGGAAGGAGAATACATCAACCAGGATCATGGTTTCCCTTCTTCCCTCCTCTCCCTTCCTCTGCTGTTCCCTGCGAGCAGCAAAACTTAAGTGATTTGGTTGTTTGGTTGTTTTTGTTTTTTTTTTTCCCCCCTCTATAGCAGCGATGCCTTCAAAAGGGTTGAAGGAACAGCACTAGGTAAAGGCTGCCCGTGTTTTCCAACTCATATAGGAGTAATTATATAGGCAAAACCGTGCTGTTACTGGTATATCTTGTTCTGCTTGTGCAGGTGGTTTGATTATGCCGATAGAAATTGCTGTTCTGTCAGTGCCAGTGACCTCTCCCGGCAGAGCGTCCCCTCGGAGCCCCATTTACTGGCGTGGGAGGCTCCTACTGAGCAGGTTTAAAGGTGATGGAGATGCTGAGGGTGCTCAGGAGTCGGATGCAAACCTCATCCGCGTGCAGTCGACGGGCTGGGCAGCCCTCGAGAGCCTCGGCACGCCGCGCTGGCGGCTTCCCGCTCCTCTACCCATTTGAAGTGCGTGCGCTTGCCCTGAAATGCAGTGTAATTCTCAAAAACTCCGTGAGATGAAGAACTTCTCATTCGTGATCGTGATTAGTTGGAGGCTGCAGGGGAATTTTTTTTTTTTTTCACCTTGTACTTAGGGCGACGAGAAGGGTAAAGGAGAAAGGTCTTAATTTTGGGGCTGCAGACTTGCTCACGAGCATCGCCTGGGGGATAATGTTGACAAAAGGATGGGGAGTAAATGCTGGCGTGTGCTGGAGGACAGAAATACTGTGTGAGAAGCAGGGCTGTCTGTACGTAATTAATCTGTAATTATAACGCAAGACCGTACTTGTTGCCTTTCTTCCTATCATCCTTTTTTTTTCTTGTATAATACAGGTCATTTTTCTTGCTGCTCAAACTCGGGACCGGTTGATGCTCCTCCGGCATCTGCACCGGTTCCCCGGCTGCTCCCGTTCCGGATGCTGTAGCAGTAATGAATTCAAAGCCCTGAAATTGTTGCTAGAATCTGTGTCTTTAGGCAATTTGCTCCACCTCAGCTCGAGCTCTCCCGCTCGGCTCGGCGCTCGTAGCTTTTTTCCTCTTCAACGCTCCCATTAGCTTCGCTGGGTTCAAGGCTTCGCTCTTTCTTTTTTACAGCCGAGCGTCGTCTCGGCGGAAGTCTGGCAAGTTGTGGGTTTTGTGGTGTGTTTATGTTCTGGTTTCTGGGCTTAGGCTGCTTCGTTTCATGTCAGGATTTCTAATATTACCTTTCGGAAGAAATATTTAGGCTTGCGATAGAAAAGGTTAAAGCAGATATTCCCTCAAAAACTCTCCGTCTCCCGCTTGGCGCACGGGTTGATTTTTATTTTGACAACGGTAGTTTTAGCTCATTTTCCTGACATGCTGCTGAGTCGCTGCTATTTCTCCTGCAGCCTTGGCAGAGTTGACAACTCTAAGGGTGGAAATGACAGGGGGAAAAAAAAAAAATAATTCTTATTTTTTTCTTTTTTTGGCGGGTATTAGTGAAAGCAGCCTGATAAAATAGACGTATAAAGGGAGTTATATAAAGGGAGTTATTCGGATTGTGAAGTTTGAGGGCGATCTGGGTGATTTAAGTCTTTTTTTTTTTTTTTTTTTTTTTTTTTT